TGTGGCGCAAGGGGTTCCCCTTGCCCTGGCCTGGGTGCCTGGCCCCCGACCCCCCCCCCCCCCCACACACACACACACCCACACACACTCACGCACCCTCCCCCGGTCACCTTGGTGACGGCGGCCGCGTGCGCCTCGTAGTGCAGGGCGGCGGTGAAGTTGGCACCGTGGTATAGCGGCATGGACCAACTGCGGCAGGCGGGCAGGCGACGGGCGGCAGGGGTGAACAACAACGCAAGGCTGGTGGGCCGGATTGAATGCGAGGCCATTCTGCACTCACAACTCCAGCAGGCCGTCCTTGGTACTGATGTCGGGGACGGGCTGCTGCTGGATCTCGAATCTCAGGGCCAGGTACGCCGCCTCCGCCGTCACCGGGCACAACTCAGGCTCACTGGCAGGGATCCAGTCGTACCACTGCACCTCGCCTGCTGCGGTGCGCTTGCCGCCCCGCAGGACGGTGCGGTGCACCAGGCAGTCGGCCTCGCCAATGACCTTTTGCGGCCGAGGCGCCGCAAGGTCTGCCAGGTAAACAGGCAGCGTGTCGTCGCTGCGGCCGATGCCCTTCAGGCACGCCAGGTTGGCGGCCCTGCAAAGCGCACCAGGGTGGCGGGTGCAGGTTGTGGGCAACGCCAAGCGCACGCCCACCAGTGGAGCAAGGCCGCAATGTTGCAGCCGTTGTGGGCGCATGCACGCACCAGTCGCGCGTGGAGGCGATGTCGCCCTGGCTGAGCCACCAGTGGAAGCAGGCCATGACCTCCTCATCCGTCAGCGACTCTGCCGCTGTGTTCTTCTGGGGGTCACCAACCGGCCTGCACAAGGCGTGGAGCAAGGAAGGGCGCCAGCAGCTTCATCGAGCAGGCACGCAGGCTGGGGGCAGGCAGGCAGGCAGGGGGTGCAGGCTGGTGGCATCGGCAGGGGGGCAGGCAGGCACTTTGGTGGCGCACCGTCCCTTCTTGGGCAGCACCAGGGCGCAGCCGTTCATGAACTCCACCTGCAGAGCGGGCGGGGACAGCAAAGAAATCAGCCTTGCTGCAGCCTCGCCCAGCAAGCCAAGCAATCATGTGTTTTGCAAGCAGTAAGGCATGGGTGGCGCCAGCGGGCGCATGTCGGGCTCGCGCATGGCGCGCACACACGCCCGCCCCGGCATCAGCATGCAACACCGCGCACTGCCCCCTCCCTCACACCCACCAGCCGCCTGCGCCGCGGCGGTTGAGGGCGGGCAGCAGGTGGTTGTCTATGAAGCGGGTGCGCGCCTCGTCCAGCTGATCGGTGTTGGGCGCCCCCAGCTCGCTGCACCGCGCCAGCACCTCCCAGATGTTCCTGCCCATGGGGCGGGGCAGAATGGAGGGGCAGGCAGGCCAGGCAGCCGTCAGCGCCGACACTGGGCCTGGGCTGCGGCACATCGCTGCTGCCAGGCTGGATGGGCAGGCAAGCAGGCAACTCTGCAGCCGCTGTGGATGCGAGTCTGGTTGGTAGGGCAGGCAGGAAGGCAGGCAGGCAGGCGTTGCTGGCGGCGCTCCCAGGCTGCGCCTCACTTGCGGGTGAATCTGTCGATGCCCCACACCGGCCGCACATCCACCTCCCCCGACGCCAGCCCCTGGGGCACCTCGCCCAGCACAAGCAGCTCGTCGCTGCCGTCGCCCACCGCGCCTGCACGCGCGGGCGGGCAGGGCGGCGCCGCCGTCGGCTAAGGCTGCACAGCTCTAAGCCTGCACAGCGCGCCGCGCAAGCTGCACACACGCAGGCCACTCGCTGCGCGCGGCAGCCAGGGCAGGCACCACTGACACCACTGACCTTCCGGCCCCGGCTCCAGGCTGCTGGCCAGCTTGGCTGGCAGCGCCGCCACATCCACCTCCTCCCCACAGTCCTCTGCCACCACAAAGCCGGCAACCTCCTCCAGCGCAGTCTCCTCAAAGGGCTGCCGCCGCCACAGGCCCTGCAGCAGACGCGGCGCGGCTGCCATCGGCGGCGCTGTTGCCTAGCTTGGCTGCTCTGCCTGCTGTGCCTGCTGTGCCTGCTCGCTCATCACTGGCATCACTGGCAAAACAGCCGGGCAGGAATCCCACAGGTGGCGCACCACACCGCCGCCAACCCACCGGCATGTAAGGCTCTTCATTGTTCTTGAGGTGCCTCGCTATCTGCCTGCACACGGCACCAGCCACGCACGCAGCAGGCTTGCCAGGGAAGGGCAGAGTGCTGGAGGTGCGCTGCACGGATGTTCCAAAAACAGCATGCACAGGCGCCGGGCAGGGCAAGGGCAAGCGGGCGTCAATGTTAAGTGGCGGGCGGCGCCCTCACTTGATGTCTGGGTCGATCACTAGCTGCTCCAGCGGGGAAGCGGCGCGCCTGCATGCAGCAGCACACATGCGTGCCGGGTGGGCAGGGGCGTCGCAGCGCAACTGAAGCAGCGCAAGCCCCATGGCTGGCGTGCGTAGCACGCGCATGCGGCGCCTGAAAGCTGATGCATGCATGGCTGAGGATGGTGGCGCCAAGCCAGCGCCGTGCCGCGCAGCGCACCCACCCGTTGGCGGCCTTCATGCGCTTGGCTGGCGCCGCCCCCTGGGCCGCCTTCTCAGCTGACGCAAACGGGCGTCCCCGCCGCTTCTTCCCCTTGCCGACGCCCTCGCCCGCCGAGCCCGGCTGCGCCGCGGCCGCGGCCACTGCCGCCGCCGCCGACTGCGCCGCCGCCACCTGCCACTCTTGCATCAGCTGCAGGCTGGGCGGGTTGCCCTGCTCGGTCATGGCCTGCGCGGCGGCCATGTACTGCTGCTGTGCCGCCACAAAGTGCTGCTGGAACAGCTGCAGCTGCTGCTGCTGCTCCAGGGACGCTGGCGCCGACGCCGCCGCAGCCGACGCGGCTGCAGCCTTGTCTGCCTTGCCCACCCTGCGGTGGGCCGCCGCCGCGGCCCCAGCCAGAGCCGCAGCCGCCACCTGCTCCTCCAGCCGCTCCTTCTGCTCCTCGTCTGCAGCCGCCGCCGCAGCAGCAGCTGCAGCCGCGCTGCTGTCCGCGCCACCGGGCGCCAGCTCATCATCCGGCTTCTCCACCGCACGCTTGCGCCGCACCACCTTCACCGCCTGCACGTTGACGGTGGCTGCGGCCAGCCAACAGGAGGCAGGCAGGGAGGAGAGTGGGATTGGCCGCAACGCCCGGCAGCGCGCCATCGCGAGCAGTCAGGCACCAGCCAAGCCACCCTAGGCACCCAGCCAAGCCGCCCTGCCGCCACCCGTGCACCACCTGGCCGCCGCTCACCCGACGTCACCACCTCCACCCCCCTCTCCGGCACCACCAGCGTCAGCGTGTAGCCCACGCCGCACTGCGCCTTGAGGAGCGCCAGCTCAGCCATCACCGCTTCCAGCCGCAGGTCGTACACCTGGCAGCGGGGGTGGGGCGGCGGGTGTGGTAGTGATAAAAAAGATGGCAACAAATGAGGGGAGCCAGTTGGCAGCCGAGGAAAGCAAGAAGCTCGGCAGGGTGCGTGCAATGAGCAGCACGGCGCAGCACGGCGCAGCAAGGGCCAGGCCCAGGCCCAAATGCTGGTTTACATTGCTGCCAAGGCTGCAGCCCCCCCACCTGCTGCCGCCGCTCCTCGCTCTCGATGAAGGTCGACTCCGCCAGCTTGGGCCGCCGCGCCCGCCGCTTGCCAGAGGTGCCCGCGGCGGGGGCGTCCTCGCCGACGTCGCCGGTGCCCAGCGCCGGCGCCGGCAGCAGAGCCAGCTCGCCGAGAGCCCAGGCATCTGTGGCGGCGGCAGGAGGAGGGGTGAGCTCCGCCGGAGCAGCCGGGGCTGCCGCCGCGGCGCCGGCGCCGCCCGCCGGCTGCGCCTTGGGCTGCCGCGGCTTCTTGGGCTGCTTCGGGGGGTGGATGCGGGGCCTGCCTCGCTTGGGCTGCACGCCCGCCGGCCGCAGGCCCGCGGCATACTGCTGCATGGCGGCGGCGGCCGCCGGTGGTGCAGCCGCGCAAAGGGGGGTATGAACTGGTCAAGGTACCGCTCAACATCCTTCATGCTGGTGCAGCGCAGCGGGCGCACCACTTGAAAAGGGCTGGACCTGCGGCCAGGCGAGCAGGCCACGCAGGTGGGTGGAGAGAGCCGCAGTAGCGCCACGTCATCATGGCTGGGAGGGGGCAGGGGGCAGGGGTCGCCCATGAAGCCTGGCAGCGCGGCGGCAGCGCGCAGGCAGCGGAGCGGCGGTGCCGGGTAAGAGCAGTGCCCCCCCTCCGCAGGCGGCGGGTGCGAGAGCGGCGAGCTGCGGGTGGCGCGCCCCTCACCGCTGCATATGCGTACTCGTGCTTGGCGGCATCCCACTTGATTGTGTCCACCGCCAGGTGCCACCGCCCGTGGCTGTCCGCCAGCAGCCAGCGGCGCAGCTGCACCGGCGGCTCCGGGTCGCACGTGCGCAGGTACTTTTCTACCCTGCGGTAGGCAGTGGCAGAGAGGCAGGGCGGATTGGATCAGGCGGCAGGAGGAACCAACCACGCAGCTGGCAGGCGGCCAAGCCGGCCTGGATGCGCAGACGGGCCGGCAGGCCGCACAGCTGGCGGCAGCGGCTCGGCAGGGCCGTGCGCGTGAGCGCCCTCGATGGCAAGGCGACCAAAGCGCGGCCCTGCGACACGAGCGGGCAGCGGACCTGTAATTCACAAAGTGCAGCGGCTGCGGGGGCACCGGAGCGACTGCCATTGCCGCGGCAGGTGGCGGAAGCGGCTTGGCAACCCTAAACCCTAAACCCTAAAAAATCGGAAGCAGCTGGAGAGGCGAAGCTGGCGGCTGTGCGGGAGGGCGTGCGGCTGCCGTCCATGCTGGCGCGGGGGGACGTGAAGCTGCCCGCGGTGCGGGAGGGCGTCCTGCAAGGGCGGAAGCAAAGGAATGGTCGTGCCAAGGGGCCAGCAGGGCACGGACGTGGAGGCACATGCTGCTCTGCGGCCACCCCGGCAGCGCAGTATAGAGAGGGCTCTTGTGTGCTGGCAGGACTTCAGTGGAGGAGCGAGCACGCGCCGCCACCTGCATTCGCACCTGGATGCTGTGCTGCCGCCTGCCTTGGCCGCTGTGGAGGCGGTGGGCGAGTAGAGGCTGCCCGGGATGCGCCCCGAGTCGATGCTGGAGCGGCTGGTGGTGCGAGGCGCGGGAGAGCGGGAGGTGACGATGGGGTTCAGCGGCTTGACGGCAGCAGCGGCGGCAGCGGCGCCAGAGGTGGCCCTGGTGGGCGGGCTGGTCTTGGTGGGGGAGTGGGGCGCGGCGGGTGCGTGGGTGGGGGAGCCCGGTACCGCGACCGCGGCCGCCTTGGCTACCACCTCCCTGCTCTTGTCTTCTGCAGGCATGGGGGAAGAGGCGTGCTCCTTGCCCACCGCCAATCGACAGCCATGCCTCGCCCCGTGCCAAGGCTGCCTCCAAGCGGGCCAGGCTGCTGCCCAAGCCGCCGCCCGGCGGCCGATCACGCGCACCTGCCGGCCGCACAGCGAGCGCTGGCTTGGGCGCGGGCTTGGGCTTGGGCTTCCGGAACTTCTCCGCCGCGCCTGCAGCGAGGGGACCCGGGGCCAGCAGCAGGGTACCGCAGGGTACCGCCTTGGTTGACAGGCTTGGAAGTGATGCCAGCGGGTGTGAGCGCAGCTACAGCACAGCAGCCTTTGGCTAGAGGCACGCCCTATGTAGGAGATGCCAGCCATCCATCCAGCCAGCATGGAGCCCCCTCACTCACGTGGGCTAGGCACGGCGGCAATCATGAGCTGCGTGACCCGCGTGTTGCCCCGGTCTGAAGCCAGGTTGAGCGGCGTCTGCGGCCAGTGGCGGCAGGGTGGGAGAGGGCGGGCAGGGCGAGGCAGAGCAGATACGTGAATGAGCTTGCGCAGTGCGCCTCTCCAGCTGCCGCTCAGATTTGCTGCCGAGCCACGCTACTCTCGCTGCCTCTGATGCCATGCAAGCATGCCCAGCCCCGCACAGGCCAAACACACACTGCGCACGCACACAAACGACACAGGCGCCCACCCGTCCTTACCTTGCCCGCATGGTTGATCTTCCAGGGATCTGCACCAGGCGGCAAGGCAGCCGGAAGCGGTGGGCGGTGGCAGGTGAAGGCAGGCGTGGCGGCGGAGCGCCAGCTGGGGCATTCTAGTACGGCCTGGCCTGTCCCTTGCCACCACCACCACCACCACCCAGCTCCCAGCCGAAGCGCAGCTCACCCGCCCCGCCCTCCAGCAGCGCCCGCGCGGCCGCGCTGTACTGCTCTGTCTTGCCATCCGTCTTGCCGTTGGGCAGCTGCTTGCTGTCGCGCCAGCACTGCACCAGCTTGTGCAGCGCTGTGTCGCCCTGGGCATCGGTGACGTCCACGTCAGCGCCGCCATCACACAGTGCGGTGATCACCTCGGCCTGAAGAGGTGTGGGGGTGAGGTATGGTTGACTGGGGCAGCAGGGGGACTGAGGACTGTGAGTGGCCAACCCTCGCAACACAACACGCACCTGCCCGCACTTGGCCGCCAGCTCCAGCAGGGTCAAGCCCTCTGGAGTGGTGCTGTCTGGGTCAGTGCCGCCGGCAAGCAGCGCCGCCGCTGCTGCCGCATGGCCGTTCTGGACGGCCAGGTAGATAGGGCTGGCGCCTGCGGGGTTCCTGCGCTCTGGGTCTGCGCCGCCCTCGAGCAGCGCAGCCACGACGGCGGCATGGCCCCGCTCCGCCGCCATGAGCAGCGGAGTGATGTGCTTGGGGGTGGTGAAGTCTGCATCGGCGCCGCTGGCCTGCAGGGGGGGTGATGCAAGCTATATCAGCTGGCCGGGGTGCAGACAGGGGCCAGTGGCAGGACAAGGACACAGCAGTAACTGGGGTGCGTTTGTGCCACAGCTGTGCACCGTCAGAGAGAGGTGCGCACCAGAAGCATGGCCGCCGCCTCGCCATGCCCGTGCTCTGCTGCCCTGCACAGCGGCGTATAGCCGTCGGCGGCCCGTAAGTCCACAGGTGCGTGGGCGGCCAGCAGCGCCCGGATCACCGCGGTGCGGCCCTCTGCGGCGGCAAGGTGCAGCGCGGTGTTGCCGTGGGCGCCCTTGGCGTTGGGGGGTGTGCCACCGCCGAGCAGCCGCTTCACAGTCTTGAGATCGCCTTTGGCAGCTGCCCTGGTGAGCTCAACGCCCGCAGACATGGTGTGTGGTGTGGATGGTACGGCTGTGTGGCGTCCTGCAGCAAAGGTGCATAGATGGGAAGGCTCAGCAGTAGGCAAGGCCTTGGCGGCGGCGACGGGGCGGGACTGGTGGATGGCAGACCGATGCCGCTTGCAGGCCGAACCCGACACCGGCGAGCTCTCCGCACCTCGAAACACAACGGTATCACCCTGCCGGGCTGCTTGTCGCTGCACCCAGTTGTCACGAGCAGATGCAACTGGATGCAAGGATGGCTTGCCTGTGGGCGTGTTTGCTGCTGTGGAAACACCTTGAGAGAAGCGAGCGAACGATCCACGCAATGGCCGAAACGGAGGCCGCCCATCTGCTCCATGCAGCCTGCTGCGCTCTCCAAAACCCAGCACTCGGCCTCTCGCAGCATGAGGCACCCTGGGCACCACCAGAGGCTGCTTGCTGCTAAGCAGCGCAGATCAGGTCAAAGCCGCGGGGAGCCGCCAAAGAGGAGCTGCCGCCGGTGCCCCGCCTTGCTGCCGGCGCCGCATGCCCACAGTTCCAGCTTTACTTGGGCCCAAAACTTGAAGTTCCTTACAGGTGCCACAGCTTTGCTTCTTGTGAGTTATTGCCAATGGTCGAAATCAAAAAGAAAAATAATGAAACGCACTAGCCCATGACGCCGAAAGAATGATGTTTGGAGGCTTGGTGGTTGCTAGTAGCAGGGAGCAGCCACAGGGGTTCGAATTGCTGAGTAGTACATTAATGTCAGTTGTAATACAATCCTGCGTGCGTGCCCATCGTGGCCAAATCACACGTTGAAGGTCCCCAGCGGGGTTGTGTAAAGCTCAACTCTGAAGTCTGAAAGCGCAGTCCCCATCAAATCAACCCAGTCCCTCGGCGAATAAAAATAGAATCAAACTGCCGTCGCGCAGTAAAGTTGAAGCAACGGAGCCACCTCACATGATCGTGCAGGCGCAGCCAGGCGCGGCCTTGCCCTCCACAGCCAGGGGCGCCGGCGGCGGCTTGGCCGCGGCCGGGGCGGCTGGCGACTGCTCGACTGGACTGGGCGACGGCTGGAAAGCGCACAGCCCCGCCCGCCTGTCAGCACGGGAGGGGGTCTCTGCGCCAGCGCTGCTGCTCGCTTGCTTGTGTGGGCTTAAAGTCTGGTAAAGCAAGAACTAGCTTGCAACATAGACTCCCCGCCGAAACGGGACGGGAACCGGGCGAAAGCAGAGAAAGCAATAAAACAGGGGTGGAGCAAGGCGACATGCAACGCAAGCAGCTGACAGGGCACGCATCGAAACGTGTGTATGACTGGCAAAGTGGCATGGCGCATTGGGGAGAAACGCAACGGTACGGGAGCATGGGCTGGCCAAACGGCAGTGCGGAACGCTAGGTCACTAGAAAAGCAGGGAAAGGCGCACTATGTATGCAATGAGGGCAGCCCCGGCTCGGGGCCGTTGAGAAAGCAGTGGGCGGGAGGGGGGAGGCCCCGGTGTGGGCGGGCCCCATCGAGGGGGGATGGGGCGCGCAAGCGGCCAGATGGGGCGGGGCGCGGGCGGCAGTGGAGTCCTGCGGCTGGGTGGGATATAGGGCAATGAGCGTTGAGCAGTGTGCGATGAGCAATGAGCAATGAGCAGTGAGCAGCCCCTCCCTAAACAAAGTGAAGCGCAGGACGGGGTCCGGTGGATGGGAGGCAAGGTAAAAGGTAAAAGGTAAAGGTGGGGAAGAGCCTCCACAAGCTTCACTTCCCGGTTTTAACGTCTAGCTTTAGACCATTATTTGATCTGCCCGACGCGCCAAGTGCAGTACCCCCCACTAGTAGTGAATGGGTCCCGGGGAGGCCTGTGCCGAAATC